AAAGTAGATCACTCTCACATGAGAACTAGCCATTTTAAAAAAAAAAAAAAAAAGTTAAAACCACTTACCAATTCCTATTCAGTCCCCCCCCCCCCAAAAAAACGAATGTTTTCTTTGTTTCTTTGCTTACCTCAGTAACGTCCATGACTTTGATGGCTGCCAGTTGACCTGTTTTGACATGCCGACCCTGAAAAACAGAAAGAAGAGTCAGCACCAGCATTCCATTTAAACACACACAGAGCAGGACCGTTAAGACACAATTTCCAGACAGTGGGTTTTCCCCATCCCGGCTTGCCTATTATCTTTCCTACTATTTCATGTTGAAGACAGGAGATAAATACTTTAGATAACTAACCAAAGAGTTTAGTTTAAAATACTTAAAGAATCGGTTGAGATAAATCACTTCTCATTAAAAGGATAATTAGCAAGATTGTCAAATTATAATTAAGCACAAAAGCAATGCATTTGCATTTACCGTTCCTTTCCATTTTCTTTAGCATAATTCACACAATCTACATCAATCTCCCATAGCTAGGCAACAAACATTTTAGCCATGTTTATAAGGCAAGCGACTCCAGATACTGTGCATTCTAAAAAGGTATCCTCGGAGCACATTTAGGTAAGGCAGAGATTCCATCAGTATTTTGCATTTATATTTTGCTGTGAACTCTGAGAAATACTGTGTAAAAGCATGTGAGCCAGACCACCACTGAAAGAGGACATTTTCTTAGACCTTATCTTCACTGCTTAAAAAAAAAAGGGGGGGGGCAGTTTACAGGGTAAAAAACAAACACACAATAATTATCTCACTGTAAAATCTTTAGTGGAGAGAGGCTCCAGCAGTGTTTTCCACAAGGTACTTCAGCGAGACCAGCACTACACCTTCACATGGGGTTGACCTCTCCTTGTTTTCATGGCAGTAAACCTGATGTACCTATGTTTTTACACTGCGGTAGCTAAGGTGCGTTAGTCATCCCATGGTATAAAACACACTTGCCACTCCCCCCAATTCTCCACTTCTTACATGTAGACCCCTATACCTAGAACTCCACCCTCACAACCCAATCTGTTATCACTTCCCTCAAGCCCACCTTAACATACATTTCTCTGAACCAGCCAACAAAGTCTCGTCATCTGTCCGACCTCAGACTTTCTTCTTACCCCCACTCTTTCAGATAAATACAGTTAAAAACACAAATCACAGAGGTTACCAGTCTCCCATGCTAGACTACACTGACCAGTCACACTGCCTCGTTAGAACCATTACTTTTCCATAATTTGTAAACTTTTCAGGAGAGGAACCATGGCCAAGACTTTCAAAAGTACCAGTGGCTTTGCTTGACTAACTTTGACACACCTGAATGAGGCCTTATTTTCTCAGTGACTTTCTGAAAATACAGACCTGGTAACCGTCTCAAGCTTGGTACCCCAAAGTTGAAGCACCCCAAAACCACTAGCCATTTTTGAGTCATGTACACCTAAGAGATGTTACCTATCAGCAGAGTGCCTAGTATGCTGTTGGTGCCATAAACAAATAGTTCTAGAAATAGGAAGATTTTCTGTCTCCATTTTCATTCAGAACTTCGAAGAGCTGACCCACTTCTCTCCCAATGACCATTCCAACCCCTTTCTTTAAATAAGTTACTGTGCTTATGCTACTGTCTGTTCCAAGAAGTTCCTTTGCTGCATGCATTTCTTTTAATATTTTTGTCACCTTAAATTAGTAATACAATCGCTTTTTCACTGAACTGGTTTGGGTATGAGAACAAAAGTAGAGCATCTGGATTCACGGAAGTACAGGCACATACATGCGCTGTAGGGAGTCAGTATTCACATGACAATGGCTGTGTGTTTCTGTGGCCCATGGTTGGTCTAGAAAGGAGGTGTTTAAGTTAAGTCAGGGCTGGCTAATACATGTTAGCCAACCTTGCCCTAACTTTGACCTCATTTCCTTATCTAGACAAAACCTTTCAGTAAGCCCAGGAGGGGCCTAAACATCCTATATCATGACAAGAGTCACTGGCCTGGTCCCTAAGGCTCACCAACCAGCTGCCTCCCTTAGCCTGCTGTGGGGAAGGAAGAAATGTTGCATTAGACCCAGATAAACAGTGCTTCCTCTCTCAGACTCTCCCCTCTTCTTCATTGTGGATGGAGTTGAAGAACCAAGAGACCGGGAAGGCGTGGGGGAATGGGAATATGAAATGGAGGGTACAGAGAGAAAAGACACTACAGCTAAAAACAGAGGGGACAGAAGCCAGATCTGAAAAGGAGAAAAGGGAGAAAATAATTTTTAAAAAATAAATGAGAAGTTACTATTAACTCTGCAGGAAAAAACAAACTCTGGAAAAGTGAAGGAACAATATACCAAGATACATGGTACACAAAAAGTTGGGTGGTTAGAAAGGAAAAGAATAAAGAAAGTAACAAACGATACACAGGATGTCAATTATTTTCATGTAAAGTTTTCTTTATTTTCTGCTTTAAATCCATGAGCTACTGATGGCCTGGCCATTTCCAGAAAAGAGATCTGAAATTATTCCCAGCCTTTGCAAGAAGAGGCGAGGTTAGTCCGCTCTGGATGACTAGCACATATCATGCTCACTTTCTTTTGGAAAAGCTGTCCTTCCACAACAGTTTCAAAAGATCCTGCTGGTCCCTCTGTTGCTCCTTATTATCTTGAGGCCACAGCAGCTGAGGCAAAGTGCAGCTACAACTAACACTTCACTGCTGATCCTAGGGAAGGGATAGGAACTGCTTTGCCATAATCCTCCTAAGGGACTGTAAAGCAGGGGAATTGCAGACTGTGGGAAATGCAGGATTCCCAGCATCCCAGGCCAAATTTAAGCCCCAGTTATATTCACAATATTGTTAGTCATTCCAGATACCTTGTTCATAATGTATGGAATACTTCAGATGCTCTGTATTTAAAGTACACCATGGGGATTTCTCTGGATGAAACAGATTTATGCATCAAAACCACATTTTGAAGCTGCATTTCTTTTCCTTTACAATATACGTTTAAAGGAAAAAGCAACCGCTAAATCAAAAAACAGGCATCGGCCTGGCTTTTCTGGTTCACTTCTTTGCCTTCTCAAGTGCTCTCTTCCAGAACGTAGACTCATAAGAGCGTTCGAATGCTGGTGTAACATTACCTGCGACATCAGGAAGTATCTAGGTACTACTGTTTTGTAAAGTGCTCTTCAGATTACCATTGCCAGGTTTGGTTTTGGGAAGGCTCATAGAAGAAGTTCTTTTATAAAATTACTTAATATCATCAAAGAATGATAGATTTGAAAATGGAAGAAATTCAGACGAGCAGGATAGTACCCAATTCCAAAGACACTTAATGACCCTGGATTAAGGCCTCGTCCACACAGCAGCTCTTTAGCATGCATGTAACCTGTTACACATACAGCTGGCAAAACCCAGGGGTTGTTTCCACACTGGATACAGTAAATCACCATGGCACCATCCCTGCAAGCTTCCCAATGACGCATAGTTTGGTTCCTGTTAGACACATGGCTATTTTGCTGTGCACCAAAGAGCCCCTTAACGACTGTCACTGTAACCAACACCCTCTGTCTGTTGGGTGGTATGGGGGGGTGACCAGCCTACCCACAACCAGAAACCTCCCCCAGCTGCAGGAAGCTCTGCATCCTCCCCGGCTTCCTGCCCTCATCACTCCTCCGCTGCAGGGAGAGGGGTCACTGTATAGGAAGCTCCTCCTCCATCCACCCAACCCCCCCGTGCATCTGGGCCTCTCATGCCCAGACACCCCTGCCTCACCCTCACCCAGAATCCCCCTAGCCCTCCATACCCAAACCGCACCCCACTGAACTTCAACCCCTGCATCTGGACCCCCACCCCTGCACCCAGACCACCCCCCACTGAGCTCCCTGCACTCAAACCCACACCTTGACTAGCCTGAGCCCCCACATCCAGACCCCACACCATTAACCCCCAACTAGCTGCACCCAGACCCCCACACCACCAATCCCCACTCCCCCAGACCTCCCTGATGAGACCCCCACACTCAGACCCCTCCACTGAGCCCCAACCACTTTCACCTGGAAGCTCCTGCAGAGTCCCACTGCCCCTGCACATGGAACCCCCACACAAGCCTCTGTGCATCCAGATCTCCCCACACCTAGAGCCCCCACTGAGCTGCCTGCACCCAGAATGTTCCACACAGAACCTGTGCTGTGTCAGGGTCAGGTGCAGCCTCACCACCGAGTCCATGTCCCAGGGTTGGGGAGGCTTCAGGGTGATCTCCCACCTTCATACAGCCAGTAGCCTATGCTCCCCAATGTCATGATGGAGTCTCTGCATTTATTTATTGACAAATAAAACTTTTAAAATTCTGCAATGCTGTGTGCAGAACTGTTAATTTTTTGGTGCAGAATGTCCTCAGGAGTAAAAGGGATCATTACTATTTGTCTAGGTACCTGAATAACTCTGTGAGAGTGCAAACACTATCAATACTATAGTGTTTGCAACTACTACTGGCTCTCTTAGGTGGAAATGGGAGAGACGCCTTAAAACTTCCCATAGACACCAACACATATGGGATAATTGCCCAGAATGTAGTATACTAAAACATTAAAGCCAAGAACTCGGCATGAACGCAGAAGATGGGGTGAAGATGGCAGAGACTGAGGCATAGGGACATAACAATGTTAACTATAAGCAGTTAAGCTAAGTATAACAGAGCCTCCAAGAGGTTACAAAATCACAGCTGTAGGTTTACTGTGGGTGAACCGTAATGATAAAGTCCTACATATAATTTCACTCAATTTAGTTCACCGATTGAACTCTCCCAGTTCCACGCCCCTTACTGATTGCTGTTTTTGATGCACCTACTCCTGTCTTCTTGCTTTCATTTATTTATTTTAAAGCATTTGTTTCTCCTCCCCAAAAAGGAATGCAAGCATTTCTTTTTTAAACGAGAACTACTCCAGTATTATTTTTAAATCATCCATTCAGGGCCTAATGCAGAGCTGGGATGAGCAGGTCAATGGAGTTTTACCTACTCACCCTAAGTCTTAATCTAGCTGTATTTTATTCTTATGTTGTGGTAGGGTGACCAGACAGCAAGTGTGAAAAATCGAGACAGGAGATGGGGGGTGTAATAGGAGCCTATATGAGAAAAAGATCCAAAAATCGGGACTGTCCCTATAAAATCAGGAC